AGCCTGGTCTGGCCTAGTGGTACCCTGCACTCAGAGTCACTTCTGTTTTGTAGGTAACTACCCAAGGGACCTCAGAGAGGAGGTGTGAGCAGGGCAGTGGGGAGGCAGGCGGCTCTGACAGACAGACAGCAAACAGCTCAAAGGGTGGCAGGCTACATTTTATTCATCATTAATTGAAATACCCTTCAAGTCCTCCCTCCAGTGCAAGAAATATGTTGTTTAAGAAGGCTTGGAGGCTCACCCGCATGCTCTAACCCCTCCTGAGAGAATGCACAGCGTCAAAAATGAGTTGTGAAGCAAGGGGCTTCCTGAAGGAGAAAGGGAAGGGGTCTCAGGCTGGGTTAGTGCAGAAAGCTCATGGCTTCTCCTCAATGTACGTGAGGCTGCGATTGCTCCAAAGGTCATACTCTGGTGACTGAGTGTGCCAGATCTGCTCCAGGGAGAAGAGTCCAGGCCATGAGTCCATGTGAGCCTGTCCAGGGTCAGGAATGGCTTTAGTGGGTCCTTCCCTTCTTCCCACCCCAGAGGAGGATCCGTCAGTCACTGTGATGTCACACAACCATGCAACCAAGCCCCAGTGCCTCTTCTGGACACAGAAGTGCCCTAAGCTGGCTGTCTGGCTGTGCTTCCCAGACAGTGATGTAGAATTGTGCTTTTTATTTTTCCTAAAGGAGGAAAAAGTTACAGTAAGATGGACCCATATGGCCCACAGCTCTTGTGGTTGCCACCTCAGTGGCTTCCTTCAGTCTCAGCCTCCCAGAAGTATCTCATCTAGCCATGGGGGCTCAGCTACCCATCACCCCAGAACCTACAGGGAAAAGGGTCTGCTGGGGGTATCTGTATGAGGGCTAGAGACTCCCTGGTCACGTGAGCAGCTGTATTCCAGGGGTAGGTTTAGGGTTGGATGCTAGCTTCTGCGTAGATAAGACAGAAACCCATGCATATTGTACAAAAACGCCCTCCAGGCCCTGTAGATCACTAATGAGTTAAATATGGGAAACCTTTCTTCAAGTGGCCCAGTCTGGGTTTTCCTTGGGGAAAAGTAGCTCTCGGTAAGGCTGCTCTGTGTGTGTGTGTGTGTGTGTGTGTGTACACCTATTGGGCAAATGTCCAGGGCTGTTCCCAACTTGCTGAGGACAGAGACTGCCCCAACAGGCAATGGGACCTCAGGAGACTTAGGGGCCAGACCATCTGGCTTTAATAAACCAGGACACCAAGAATGGCTTCTTCCCCTGCCTTCAATGTGAAGAAGGCCTGGTACCTGGCCCAGGACTTCTGCGTTGCCACAGCTAGAGGACAAGTGTTTCTTGGAGTCATGAATCTGTATTAGAGCCTACAGCCCAGCATGAAACAGACAAGTGTGGGCCTGAGGTTAAAAGGCAGCTCCTGGACCTGAGTTGTAGATTGCAGTGAGCTGCCAGCAGTAGGGCAGGCTAGAGACTCCCATGATGGGTGGAAGAGGCTTGGCATCTGAGGGAATGGATATTTCCTTAGCCTGAGGTTCAAGAGAACCTGCAGAAGAGAAAGTGGTCTCTATCAATGTCATTGATATTCCTTTAGTTGCTCCTGAAATGATATAGGATGGCCTATTTTTGCTTCTCAATGTTCACCATCAAACAAGTTGTCAAACCACATGTCCTGGGCTGGGGGTGTAGCTCAGTGGTAGAGTGCTTGCCTAGCATGGGTAAGATTCTGAGTTCTATCCCCAGCATCACAACAACAACAACAAAAAGAGCCAGGCTCTGGTGGCTCACCCATATAATCCTAGCTACTTAGGAGGCTGAGATCTAAGGATCACGTTTCAAAGCCAGCCTGGGCAAGAAAGTCTATGAGACTCTTATCTCCAATTAACCACCAGAAAACCATAAATGGAGCTATGGGTCAAAGTGGTAGACCACTAGCCTTGAGCAAAAAAGCTCAGGGACAGTGCCCAGGCCCCCCGCTGTGACTGAAAACAACAACAACAAAAATAAGAAAACAAAAAAGAACAAAATAAAACAACAACCAAGCAAGCAAACCAGCTGAAAACCCACATATCCCTTAGGGATGGGTCTAATGCTCCATCAAGTCTCCTGCCTGAAGAAGCTCTAGTTTTTCAAGGAAGAAGACCCAGGCATCAGGGGTACTGAGCCCTTTGGCTGGACAGGAAGGATGATGATGTGTTGTAGCATGCAGTAGCATTGAGATTGGGGCTGGATGATGGGGACCTGGGGAATTAGGACAAAAATGGACATGTGCCACAGGATGCCAAGTTAGTCTGATACTTTAGAGGACTGGTGTTTCTCTGGGAAGTTATGAGCAGGCCTTTCCTTGTCTGGCCCCTCAGACCATGCTTCTGAAATTACTTGTTCAAACTGCCCTCCCCCATCACCTCTTTCTAAAGCCAAAGTGTAGGAAAGGATTGACTCTAGGAAGCACTAGAGATGGACCAGGCTGCTAAAGAATAGAGCCAGGTCTGATGGCTTGTGACTGTGATCGTAGCAACCCAGGAAGCTGAGATCTGAGGATCACGGTTAGAAGCCAGCTTAGGCAGGAAAGTCCGTGAGACTCTTATCTCCAAATGACCACCAGAAAAGCAGAAAGTGGCTCTGTGTCTCCAAGTGGTAGAGCACTAGCCTTGAACCAAAAAGCTCAGGGACAGCATCTAAGCCCTGGTTCAAACCCTAGGACAAAACAAAACAACAACAGCAACAACAAAACCCATGATGGTTTATTTTCTCTGGAGGTAGATCCTGGTGCCTCCCACAGATAGGATTTCATGCAGTGTTATGCACTAGGTGGTGTAGCGTGGACTGGATACCTCAGACTCATACAACCCAAGTGGCTCAGTGGCTAGGCCTTAGCTGTGCTCTTGCTAGGGCTCCCTTCCCAAATGCAGGCTGCTACTTTTCAGACTAAGTCCTCATGGTCCAGATACCTCTGCCATGGGGATCTGTGCTTCCCTGTTCTGGATGGCTCAGATCCCAAGTTATTTCCTGTTGCCTAGGTGACATTTCTAATTGAAGGCTTTTTTTTTTAATTGAAGGCTTTTTAATGGTTCCTTTTAAAAGGATAAAACTGGTACTTTATTTTAAAGTTTTGTCAGAAGTCCTGTCCTACAGACATGTGCTTTTCCAAGTATCCTGTCCCATCTTATGGTCACAGCCATTGTTCAGATGGGGAGTCATAGTGGATCAAGAAGTAGAACTCTAGGAAGAGCTTATTTGGGGGGATTTAGCAAGACTGACCTGGCCAGTGCTGCCTTGCTCATTTCACCCTACATTAGGGTCTGAGTTTAGAAGACAACCCCAACAAAGATAAGAAATGACTCCCAAGTCATTGAGAATCACTAAGATCTCAGATCATTTGTTTCTTTCCTACCATAAACTAGAAGAGGAAAGAGGAGTTTGCCATTCAGCCTGACTCTTAAAGCTGAGTGTGAATGTGCATGTGTGCATGTTGGGGTGTGTATGTATGTGTCCTCAAGCTTCGGGGACATTTGCAGGGAGGGGATGTCTCACATTGCTAGATAAGACTTCCAACAGAAGCAGTACGCATTGGGTCACACCACACCTATTAACTCTGGTACCTGTCTTTCGGGTTGACATTTCCTTCGATGAGAAAAAGGGCAAAGAACTGCTCCTTTACAGCCCTAGATCTTCATATTTTCAATGAAGCCTGGGTATCTGGCCTTCCTCCCAGTTAAGGACCTACAAGCTGCAGAGGAGGAGTCTGCGAGAATCTGTCCTTCAGCTTGAGCATCCAGAGCATAACTTTAATCCTAAAATTACTTCCATCTCCGGGTTCCACCAGTTCCCTCCCTCCTGCTTTTCTCCACCTCCAATACAGATTGCATGGAGAAAACAAGCTCACCAGATTGCTGGGGAGGATACACAGGATTTAGAATGGAGTTCTAATTCCCCAAACACTTTACAGGCACGGGAGCCAAATGCACTGACATTTGTGGAATGGCAGCTTTGGGTTCCTGGTGCTGTAGGCCCTAGGTCCCCCCCCACCTAAGCTAGCAGCTGATACAACTCTGACTCAGTTGGAGGAGAGGTGAGGGGTTGGGGGGCAGGGGCTGTGTTCTATACACCCAAGATCTCTAAAAATGGGAACCGTTAAACACCAGTAGTTAAGAAAAAGAAAACACTACAACAATATCTTGTTGAGAAGAGTCAGCTATTCCTGGTTAATGGTGAAAAGCATTCCTGTGTGTGCACGAAGTTTGGGAATGAAGTGGGGGGCGTTGGGGGGGTGTCCAAGATGGTGCTTGTTACCTGGAGATGAAAACAAGACCCCCTGCAACCTGAGCTGCTCCTTCCTGCCGCCACCCAGGGTTGCTGCCCTTTGAAGTCGCTGCCCTGTGTGCTGTGCTGTGCTGAGTGGACTAAACGCAGGCTGAGAAAGGCCAGCCAAGCCCCTCACCATTTGCAATTTCCAAATCTGGGGGAAATGCCACAGTCCAAGTGGGTGCTGTGTTTCATCTCATTGCATAATACTACAGCATTCTCTGTGTGTAGTGGCTGTTCTATATATATATACACCGGGAGGCAACATATGGCTCTCCCCACCCCCACCTGTCAAAACTGTGACTACATCGCTTCTGACGACCAGAAGGAAGCTGCTAGGCCGGGCCAGGATTCTAAATGCTGAGGAGGTAATTCAGAGCCATGAAAAGCTGCACCATATGCTTTGAGGTTGCCAGCTGCTTATGTGCATGGGGAAGGGTTTGGTGCCAGTCTACAAAGCCCAGGAATGCCACTCTCCTTGCTGTGGTGTGCGCACCCGGTGGGCAGGGGAGGGGTTGTGTGTGGGAAAATGGGTCGGGTCTGGGGTGCCATTTTTTTTTCTCCCTGGAGGAGGATCGGATGAGGGCGGTGGTTCCCCCAAAAGAGTTCCCCCAAGAGATGTACAAGGAACACAGGCGCCCCCAAATTCTGCCCTTGATAACATCAGGCCTGGCCAAATTGTATTTCTTCCTTTTCTTTCTTTTTTTTTTAGAAAAAAAGTTTTCTTTTTGGTTTCACTTTATTGGATAAGGATTAAGAACGCGCCAGCTCTGAGAGAAGAGAAGCAAACGCGCCGGGCGGCGCTGGTCTACCTGGAGGCGCTGGTCTCGGCCAGCCTGTTGTTCATGATGCCCAGCGCGCCCACGCCGCCCGAGAAGCCGTTCTGGCGCGTGTTGACGCACACGCCGCGCGGGTAGCCATTGGCCGTCTCGGACAGCTGCTTCTGCAGCAGCGCCAGCGACACCTTGTTGGAGGCGGTGAGGTCGCGCATGGAGATGAGCTCGCCCGACAGGCGGCGGCCCTCGGTGTCGCTGTCGCGAGCCCCGGGATCGGCGCCCAGCGCGGCCAGGCGGCGGCGCAGCCGCGATCCCGGGGTGATGGCGTTGCGCCGGGCCAGGGGCGCACCGGGCGTCGGGCAGCAGCGCGCGCAGCAGCGGCAGCTCAGCTTGCGCAGCATCCAGTTCAGCACCTGCTTGATGAGGATGGAGATGACGTTGAAGAGCGAATAGATGCAGCACACGCCGAGCAGGATGAAGAGGAAGTTGCCCAGGCGGTAGAGTCCCTGGTTCCGGTAGGCGGCTTGCTGGCTGCTCACCAGGTCCCCGAAGCCGATGGTGCTGAAGGTGACGAAGCAGAAGTAGAGCGAATCCACGTAGTCCCAGCCCTCCACGCTGGTGTACATGGCCGAGGCGCAGCACGACAGCAGCACGGCGAACAGGCCCAGGATGAGCAGCACGTGGTACACCGAGGGCTTCCAGCCCGCCAGGCTGTCGGCCTCCGACAGCGCCGAGCCCCGGCGGAAGGTGGCCGGCAGCAGGCCGCTGCGGCGCAGCTGGCGCTCCCGGCACGCGCGCATGATGAAGGCCAGCAGCGAGATGATCCGCTCCAGGAAGAGGTTGAAGAACAGGATGGTGCCCGCGCAGCCAAACAGGCCGTAGGCGATGAGGAAGGCCTTCCCACCCACAGTGGCAGGAGTGGTCATGCCGAAACCTGGGGGAAGCATAAGGATGATCAGCTAGAGCAGGGGGTTCTTGGGAAGTGGAGGGGGGGCGTGGGTGTGGGGCAGGCTAAACCGCAGTGCTGGCCCGGCTCCTTACCTGAGTAGCACTTACACGTTTCCCTTCCTTGGTGTGACTAGATGTTGTTCCTGATCTTCTCAATCCCTAAATTGATGGAGGTGACATGCCCTTACCCTGGCCGCTGTATACACCCACATGGGGAGGGCAGGATGGGAAGAACCCTCAGGCTATAAAGCAGAGGGCAAAGGTGCAAACCATGGAAATACCCCACAAAGCCAACAAGTGACATCTGTTCTACTACTGCACACCCTGCCTCCAGCCCCAAAGGCGTTTTTTTACGCACACCTGGACAGACAGCCTTGCAAAGCCAGAATTCCATAAAGACGTCACTTTAATTAGGATTGTGCACTCTGGAACCAAATAGAGTGTAAGGTCCCAGAAAAGGGATTTGTTTATTTGTGCCCGTATTGGAGTTTGAATTTAGGGCCTGAGCCCCTTAGCTCTTTTGCTTAAGGCTCGCACTATACCACTTGAGCCACAGCTCCACTTTGGGCTTTTTAGTAGTTAATTGGAGATAAGAATTTCACATGCTTTCCTGTCCAGGCTGGCTTCAAACCAAGATTCTCTAATCTTAGCCTCTTCAGTGGCTAGGATTCCAAGTGTGTGCTACCAGTGCCTGGCTGGAAAGGACTTTATGAAACTCACAAAAAGATTGTTTGGGGGGCTGGGAATGTGATTTAGTGGTAGAGTGTTTGCCTAGCTTGCATGAAACTGTGGATTTGATTCCTTAGTATCACATAAACAGAAAAAGCCAGAAGTAGTAGTGCCGTGGTTCAAAGTGGTAGAGTGTTAGCCTTGAGTGAAATTGCTCAGGGATAGCTCCCAGGCCTTGAGTTCAAGCCCCATGACCTGAAAAAAAAAATGATTGTTTGGAGTAATACATGGTGGCTCAAGCCTGTAATCCTATCCACTCGGAGGTAAAGATTGGAGTTTGAAGCCAGTGTGGGCAAAAAAAAATTCAGGAGATTGTATCAACCAATGAGACTGGTGTGGGCCTGCTATCCTAGCTATGGAGGAAGACTAAAGGCATGTCACCTTCTATGACAAGGGGAAGCACAGCATAAGTGGACACACTGTATGGAACATAACCCATGCAAAAAGAGCCTGGAGGCATGGCTCAAGTGGTCTAGCAAGGGTGAGGCCCTAAATTCAATCCTTAGTACTTTTAAGGAGGAGGGAAGAGATCGAGTATAAACCCACGCCTTCAGAGTGTGAGCAAGGCCCAGCCACAGAATTCTAGCACTCTTTTTTCTGATCACTGTCATTCACTCTGGTCTAGGAGGAGGCTTTGGGCCAGCTAGGGGCTGTGCTGCTGGTGTGTGTCTGGGATTTTGTCCTCAGAGATCTTCCCTGCGCATGGGTAGCTGCTTATTGCTTGATACTTTTTATGTCTTAGCCTTATCACTTGTTCAAAGCACAGGCTTTAAAAGAGTTTTTATCCATTGATTTCTGCCGCCTGCCATTCAGGGCAGCACAGCGGGGGCTGCTTTGCCTCTCCATCCTGATCTGCTCTCCTTGTAAAGCCCAGAATTGCCTGTCTGCTGTGTGTGAGTGGGGGGGGGGTGCTTTAATCTCTTGATAGGAAGATTCACTTACTTCCTGGAGTCTGAGCTGAAAATGGACCCTTTGAGCAACTCTGTGACACATCTGAGCACCTCTGGCTGCAAAACAGAGGCATTCCTACTTAATTCATGTCCAACAACAGTCTGTGCACTGCCAAAGTGGTGGGACCAATCCTGGGAAAGAGATGGACAATAATTTGTCTCATTAACTTACTGTCTCCCTAAAAAGGCCAGAGTAAATATTTCTTGTAATCCTCACAGAGGGTTTTCTAGATTTCCCGGAGGAAATATCCAAGCATATGCCTGAATATGCTTAATGACTTAAAGAAAATCCTAACACAGTATTCATGTTGCAAAAGTTTAGTTGGATTCTTTTTCTTTTCTTTCTTTCTTTTTTTTTCTTTTTGTCGGTCGTGGGGCCTGAACTCTGGGCCTGGGCACTGTCCCTCAGCTCTTCAGCTCATGACAAGTGCTCTACCACTTGAGCCACAGCACCACCTCCAGCTTTTTCTGCTTACGTGGTGCTGAGGAATCGAACCCAGGGCCTCATGCATGCAAGGTAAGCACTCTACCATCGAGCCATCTTCCAAGCCCCAGTCGGTTTCTTATATTCAGAATTTGACCACAAAAGAGTGAACTGAACAAGCTGCAGTTTACCTAAGAACTTGATGGAATGCTTTTGCTATACTTCAAAGCAAGTGAAGCTCAAGTTCTTGAGTTCATAAAGAAATCAGCAGCTCTGAATTTACGTAGCTATATGTGGAATGGAATGCATATGTGTTTGTAAAGCATCATAGATTGATAGTCCAGATGTCCAGAAACAGAAGTACATCAGCCTGTTCACGATAAAGAAATGCTACACATGAAAAGAAATGAGCCACAGCTATTTCAACAAGAGTGAGTCTCATGAAAAAGAATGTTGAACATGCATGCAAAGGGGTAGGAGGGTTAGGGGAGTAATAGAGAGTGTTAGGCTGATTTGAGTACATTGTATACATACATGGAGATGTCACAATGGAGCTCCTTTTTGTACAACTGACAGATGCTACTAAAATAAAGGATATTGGACAAGAGAAGCTATCTACAAAATAATATTAATACAAAATCAGGCAAAAACAAGTTATGGTACTTTTCAGGGATGCGCATTTGGTTGGTCAACTTATAAGGAATAAGTGCTTGGAGAATGTATTGGAGCTTCTAGAAGAACACAGTCTCTAGTGTACCCTTGAATGAAGAACATTCTCCTTCTAGGGAAAGTTGTCCTCATTGAGTGAATCTGCAGGGACAGGGATGCCTGCTTGGCCTGCCAGCTCAGCCAAATCAACCCTTCATCAGTTGGCCAGTGGGGTGACTGATATCACAGCCAGATCTCCCTCAGATGGAAAGGAAATTGCTTTTGGTCGGAGATGGGATTTCCTTTCAGGGTAGGCAGAGTGTGACTGGGTAGGGATATAGGGGACCTTGAAATGATCTACTGACAGAGATAGTGATTACCTAAGTGATAGCTGTATGAGGTTTGTGTGTTTTATGAATTCTTGTACTCTCATAAGACACCCTTTGAGGATGAAAGAGGTTGAAAGAGGTGACACTGATCAACGTGAATTGTATTCATAAACTGTTTTGTTTAATGGCAACTCCCCTGAACAACTACTTAAAGACAATAAAATCATAATAAGAAATAAAACAAGACCTTTTAAATAAGAAAACTTTATTTGGACAGGAGAGAAAGGAACAGCAGAAGGGATATGACCTGTAGCTTGTTCAGTTCATTTGGGGACAGACTGACATCCATTTGTCCTGACTGAAGCCTGCTGACTAGACCAATGTACCCAACGCTTCTACTCATTCAGGAATACAAAACCACTAGTAATGGGGGTCATTTCGTTAAATTCCTAAAGAAATGGAAAAGCCTAAGCCTGGAGAATTGATGCTTTGTTTAGTTAAGAGAATATTGAATTGGATTTTCCTATACTTTAAGATTTTCAGCTGAAGTCTTTAAAGCTGAGAATAATTTGTGCTATGTAATTCCAGGTTTTAAAGAGAAGTTCTAGACAAAGCTCTGCTAGACTAAATTGGCAAATTGGGCCTGGCAACTAACAGCACATCCCCTCCCCCTCTCCTCCCAGCCTGTCTGAAAGGCTCAGAATTACCCAGGGATGGGTGGAAGATGGGCACAAGGTAGGAGATTTGTGGTGGTGAGAAGTGCTTAGGCATCCTTCACCCATCTCCAAACCGCACAATGGTTACTGGGGGTTAGGTAAGAGAATCTCTCCCTGCAGCAAGAGGAGAGCTGGGCAGCTCACTTCCAGCTAGGGCTCAGATACACCTATGAGCTTGAGTGGAATGTGAGGAGAGTTCCAGGAGAAGCAGCGTCTGAAGTATGTCCTCCAGAGTCGGAAGCTATACTAGCAAATTGTCTCCGTGGGCTGCTGACAGGGGCTGCTCACACAGACAGTGGAGGAAGAAGGCAGAATGCAAGCAGTCCGCCCTTCTAGGATGGTAGAATCCAGACCTTTTCCTTTCTTCTTTTGAGATGGAATCTCACTGTGTTGTTCAGGCTGACCTCAAATTCCTGGGCTCAAGCCATCCTCCTGCCTCAGTCTCCCTGGTAGCTGGAACTACAGGCATGCACCACTACCCCTGACTTGTAACTTGTATCTTAAATAGCTCTGAGAGGTCTATGTGTTATTGAAGACATGGGCACCGGGGTGGTGCTATTGGGAAACAGTGGAATCCCTAGGACCCCTTGCAGAGGATTTTGTGCAGTATGTCTTCCCCTGCAACGAGCATGCCCTATAGAGACAGCACAGCTCTTCTCTGCTGCCCTATCCAGAATCTGGGCTGGGATTTTTCCTAGCATCTTCTTGTGTCTCTGTCTTAGCTTTTATTCATCACAACCACTCAGTCAGCTGGTAACTGCAGTCCCTAAACAAAGCTGGAATTTCTCTGCCGAGCACACAAGTTTCAGGCTGGCTGGTCTGTAGGTTCTCTGATCGCAGACAGCAGTCAGTGAAAGTATCTCTCCTTCTTGCCTGATTTCTCAGGTCTGGCTCCTTGGATCTGCTTCTCTTCCTCTACTTTGCTGAATACCACAGTTAGCTCAGCTCCTGGGGGGTTGGGGGAGGGGAGAATGCAGTGTCCACCTGTTTTTACCCTCAACATAATGAGCTCTAGGGGATGGGGTATGTCAAGGTTCTGGATCTGATCTATGTCTTGCACCACTGCTTGGTCCCCAGTCTAGGGGATCAGACCCCGATCTCTGGCAACATGTAGGAATTCAGGCTGACTGTGGAAAGGAGCCTTGAAGCTCCAGCTAGGGAAAAGGCAAACTTTGCCATTCTGAGACTCA